TTGCGAAGAGAAACAGCGCCGAACACAAAGAAGTGAAGTAAGAGCCGACTTGTGTGCGTGGTTTAGAATGACGTTTATTGTGAGTGAGTTATTGACATATACTAGTAGTTTCCCTTTCTGTTGTATCACAGACACGACTGTAATAGATGTCTATTCCGATACGATCCATGGAGTCCACAACAGCACCTGTCTCGCCGATATCTTCGCGCGAGCCCGCACCACGCCTTGTTCTTTTGGACAACGCCAATCGCTAAGTTCTCCGAAACTTATTGGCAAATCCCAGTTCTACAGACACACCCTACATGCTTTCGAACTTATACCCAACAGCTCCTCACTCTTGTCTACTTCCCATATATCGCGACACGAAACTACAAAGCCCGCCCCGCTCCAACATACCCCACACCTCCCCTCGACCCGCACGACCCTCTCTTTCCGCGCTCCCTCCCGCCTCGGCTCGCGCGTTTCCATTCCCTCAGTCCGTCTATTCCCCTTTCCGTCGTTCTGTTTGCGTCTCCCCTGTCCCTTACCACTCTATTCCCCATACTTTCCCTTACTCCTCGTTCCATTGTCACCGTCCCGCCGCCCCATCTGCTCGCCTCCCCGTCCCCTCCTCCCCAACGTCAGTTGCTGCTGCACTTCATACAGTTCTTTCATGCCAGTGCTCCGCTGGTGTGGAGATACCTTATTGGGAAAAATTCGCTAAGCCAATGTATGTCGGCGCCGAATTCTCGCCATACAGCGAGGGAAGACCACCCACCTCTCGAAGCAAAATATGCACTACACTTACGGAACTCAGTGTGTTGACGGCACCGGGAATCACTACCAAACCAACCAATCCCTATCCACTGTCTACCCGTCCACGTCCATACACCATACATACACATTACGCTACCATAGCATAACCGGAGACCAGAGCGTAACACCTGCAGCGGCGGTGACGCTATGGCGGGAGATACCCTGAAGAAGGAAAACCCCTGGCAAGCCGATGTGTAGTTCTTTAGTTCGAGTAGGTCCGCTCCATCACGCGGGGGAAGCTTCCGAGTCTTTCGCTGCACTAACAGGACTAATGACGATAGTTCACACGCTCGCAGAACAATCAATCAATTCCCAATGCTCGCCCCTCTTAGCGTATTATACATACTTACCAATTTCCTTCTTTTCAACTTAATAATATTCTGCTTAGTTTCCGGCTACTTAAACTGTTCTCTCCTTTCATTTGCGGTTCGGTCTTACGTTCGGATTCTTCATTGCAAAACGAATTCCGTTAATTCAAGGCGACCGAGCGGGATTATTATTAAAACTAAGCTTTGATAATAGGCCACACTCTACCTTGATAAATTTAAACCATATCTCTATTATATTTTCCTCTCATTATCTTCTAAAAATTTGAAATTTCTCTAGCTACTGTGGTCTGCTAACTTAGTGGATATTTATGTTATAAAACTTTAGACTTTACTATCAGCATATAATAGAATATAACTACAAATCAGGCAATATCTAGATAACAAATTTTAAATGAGCACTTCATTGATTTTAATTTCTCTTGCAAAGAAGTGCGACCTCTCCTCACGTCGGTGTGTTCCTACGCCTTACTTTTTCCCCAATAATACTATTCGCAATTACCCACCAAGAAAGTCACCTCTTGCGATATCTTCACATTAATTTTTAAGATTTGATGAATTTGCAAACCCCCAACATACTACATCTCGAGAAATTGGACTCTCCAGCTTAGGCAAACTCTCACATCTCGTCCTTATTTGATGTCGATCGACCCAATTCAGAAAATGTCTCTCAAAACACAATTGACTGTCGCTTACTGTTACCTAACAACTTCGTCCCATCGCACGTGTTTGTCTTAATCTGTTCTCCGAACTTGTTAGCTAGCGATTTCTATTGCTCTCCGTTGTATCCCTCCTCGACCCTTACCACTCATTCCCATACTTTCTCCCTTCTCCCCAGTATCCTACGGACACCGCCCCCGCATCCCTGCCCTGCTTCTCCCTCCCCTCCCCCCCGTCAGTGCCTACTCCATTCATACACTTCTGATGCCAATGGCCGCTTCTAAAGGTGGATACCTTATTAGAAAAACTTCGCTAGTCGACGTAGGTCGGCGCCGAAACTCGCCATACAGCGAGGAGACCACGCCTCTGTTTGTCCCTCTCGTGCTTTCCACCGAGCCGCCTTACCGTCCACCCTACGCTCCCTTTTCCCGCCCACCCAAACGCCCACCCAACGCCCAACCCACGCCCACCAACGCCCACCCAACGCCCCCAACGCCCACCCAACGCCCACCCAACCCCACCCACCTCACCAACCCTCACCCAACCCTCACCCACCCTCACCCAACCTCAACCCAACCCTCACCCAACCCTCACCCAACCTCACCCAACCCTCACCCAACCCTCACCCAACCCTCACCCAACCCTCACCCAACCCTCACCAACCCTCACCAACCCTCACCCCAACCCTCCACCCAACCCTCACCCAACCCTCACCCAACCCTACCCAACCCTCACCCAACCCCACCCAACCCTCACCCAAACCCTCACCCAACTCTCACCCAAACCTCCACCCCAACTCTCACCCAACACTCACCCAACTCTTCACCCAACCCTCACCCAACCCTTCAACCCAACCCTCACCCAACCCTCAACCCAACCCTCACACCAACCCTCACCACCCTCACCCCAACCCTCACCCAACCCTCACCCAACCCTCACCCAACCCTCGACCCAACCCTCACCCAAACCCTCATCCCAACCCTCAACCCAACCCTCATCCAAACCCGCCCTAAGCCCGCCCTATGCCACCCAACCCACGTCTACCCCTCCCTAGGCTCACCTACGCCTCGCCCAACGCCCACCTTATGCCCACCTTACCCCGCCCACCGAACGCCCACGCAATTGCCCACGCAACGCCCACCCTACGCCCACCTACGCCCACCCAGAACGCCTACCCTACGCCCCACCCAACCGCCCATCCAACGCCCACCAACGACCACCTTAGGCCCAACCCAACGGCCCACCCTCCGCCCGCCTGCGCTTCCGTGCTGCGCCATCAATGCATGCGGCGTTCGTCCGCCTCCTGAGAGATCTGGCCTTCGTTTGGGCGTTCGCCTCCTCCCCGGGCGCTGGCGTGGCCGGCGATTCGTTTCCCCCGGCGAAGCCGCCCCAATTGACCGGACGAAAGGAACAGCTCCCGCCCCTCCCCGCCCCGCCCCCCCCCGCGCCGCCCCGCACCTGGCCCTGGCCGGCGTCCCATCGCACCCGATGACTTCCACCGATGCGCCTTCTATTGAGAGGGCCACTCCGCGAGGACTTCAATTTGCAAGTTGTACATCAACGTTCCTCGCGAGACGAATGTAACAGCTATTTTCGACGCACTCTAGGACCTCTTCCGCAAACAACTTCTTGATTTTTTTTTGCTTCTCCCCATAAAGTAACGGTTTATTTTGACATTTGAAATATACTTTCCAAAGGGCGAGTCGTAATATTTCCAAAGGGTCTGCCCAGGAAAACCCAGAGGACGGTTCAGGGAGGCTCTTCAGCGGCGCCTGCGCAGTTCTGCGTTCTCGGTAAGTGGCGAACCCGATACTGACAGTGCGCTTTGTCAGGTTATTTATTCGATTTCGGAAACCAGCTCCCAGCCATTTGCGAGATCTCGCCCCCCCCCCCCCCGCGCCACGAGAGAGTCGGAGCGAGCCCGTATTTTTGTTGCTTCTCTGACTGAAACGCACTCCGATATCGCCTTATTTTCGTCGGGGAGTGCCGCACGCCCCCGCTGCATATTTGTTTTTAAATGAAATCTGATAGGCGCGCTCATAAATTTTGTAATGGACTCCATTTGTATTCGTTTTAGCCGGGGAAAATGGACTTGGTAGGACGCGTCGAATGTGGGAACATTTTCGTTTGCGAGGGGCGTTGTCGCAGGCAACGTCGCGGAGGGAGCAGGCGCCCTTAGAGAGCGCCCTTAGCGAGCCCTTAGAGAGCGCGGCCGAAGCGGAAGGAGAGAGAGCGTCGCACACGGGAGAACTTTTCGCTCTCCGTCGCACGATATTCTTCGCTGACTTTCGTAAAATTTCGCTCCGTTTACGAGTTGTTTGTATTTCATCTTTTCATTATTTCGGAAGTTGTACGGAAAGTGGGATGTTTAAAATAAAAAAACCGCTTTGTGAAATTGATGGGGTCAATGTGATCATGTGGTTCTCGTATTTGCAAGGTACATTTGACAAATGATAGATCAGCGTAGGAAAAAAAGCATGCTTTATTAATTTATGAATTATACAAAAGTATGATGAATATATTGCTCGCGTTGTAGCTCTGTATTTCTTTGCTGTGCTTCCTCTGTTTTCTCATTCATCGTTTTTAGCGCACGGGATTCGAGATTTGAAGGTCAGTCTGTTCCTATTAGAACTACAATCACAATCGATTAGACACCGTCCAAGTATATATTTTCAGAGAAGTTGTGATTTTTAAATTGTGAGTAAAGCGGATTTAGGATTTTTAAAGAGGATTTAGATTGACTTTCGTGATTGTAAATACTTTCAAGAGTTGAGAGCGTAACAAATATTCCAATTTAAAAAAGTCAATTATCCAAATGATTGAGGTCCAATATTCTGTGACCTCTGCCTTCAAACGTATTACGTATTAAGCGCTGTGTTATTCCATCTTTAATGGATAAAATTGGGACTGTTTTATTTTAAAAAGAAATTGTGTTGGATTGTAAATTTGATTTTCATGTTCTTATAAAGTATTGATTAAGGGTCTAGGAGGTATCAATCACGAAGTTAGGTGGATCTTTAATCATTATGGATTACCACAATAGCTCTCTGGTGCCACCTTTGAAAGTATAATTACTCAAAACAAAATGTGTTTCAATGATTTAAAAACAACTTAATTATTAATACAAATTGGAATAATCAAAACTCATCTATAAAGAAATGTCACTTACGGGTACATAAAGGAGAGGTTTAGATAAAAATCTCATTATGTCAGAATTATATGAATGTGGGATATTCCCTTGTTGTACTAAGCCCTTTAGTTGTTAGAGTAATTGCTCTTCTTCCATGCTTCCGACGTTGGCGAGTTCGATTTCGGGCGTGGCGTCCTCGGTTGAGTACCTGCCCGTCGCCTCTGCTGCCTGCGCGTTTGCGCGCCGGCCCTGGTGGCAACCCCGCCCCTCCGCCCCCGCCCGAGCCCTCGACCCCGCCCCCAGCCACAGCAAGCGCCACCTTCGTCTCTCTGTCGTGCCCAGAATCCCTCCGCCCCCGCCCCCGCCCGCGCCGTAGCGCCCACAGAAAGCCTGAAATTCGAGGAAGGGCCGCTCGCCACGTATGAATAATGCATGTTTCTTGTCTGTTGGTGTGTATGCTGCGGCCCTCCCCCTTCAACTGTTCGCGGCTGTCCGCGTCGCCCGCGTACCTGCCTCTGTGCGACCGGGCGCACCGTGTTGACTGGTCCAAACTGGGATACGGTTCCCCCAGCCAACGGTCTCGCCATCCACCGAGACGCAAAGAGCAGCTCCATCAAAGAATTACTATTTTAAATAATAATGTGTTAGGGATTGAATTGTTGAGTTAAATGAGAGTATTCTTACTGCGCTGTATTTTTTTAAAACTAACGAGCGGTACCAACATCAGTTGCACCTGTTCGTAAGGCCACTTTACATAGGAGACGACAGCCGAAACAGCTTGATGTGGTATTCAGAGTTCAGTTTGTAGTGAGAAGCTTTGAAGATGATACGTATATTGCGTCCGCAGCATCGCGGCATTGTGGTAGCTGCAAAGGGATGGCTTTGCTTTCTTGGAATCTTCACAAGTTTCGTCCAGCAGTTGCAACATAAAACGAAGCCACAATGATGTAATGGTTCAGCTAGGGACGGCCAGAAAGTAAGGTCTTGACGTTTGATGTTCAGAGAAATTATTGGAAAATTGTTTGAGCTAATGGTAGACGATTAATTGGTTCTTCATAATTCAAATCCTTGGTTAAACTTGCCACTTTTTTTTCAAAAAGATCAAAAACATCATTGGAAAAGTCTTTGTGTAATTGTGTTACGAGAAGAAAGCAAGTAGTATGAAACCGCTTGTCGTTCGTTAGGTTTTTCTTACCCTCCGCTCCAACTAAGCTTGTGTTGCAAGGACGAGTGATGTGGTAAGACTCTCGAAAAGAAACTACCTTTTTTCAGAGTTATCTAAAAGAAATTTAATGTTAGCATTGATAGCTACAACACTGTCAGTAATTCAGCATGACGCACGTTTCGTTTTAAGCGTAGAGGCAGAAAACAGCATTTACTTCGTTTTACCTATTGCGGGAAAGTGAATGAAAGGAAAGTAATTCACAAATCAGGCGAACACGTGCGTCGTTTTTCTTTTATTTCAATAAAACTGGATAATAATCACTGTGATAATTATTTTATATCACATCTACGAAAGGGTCTTCAAAAATTGCGGTCTTTTGTCGTATTAAATAACTGCAGCTCTTTTCATAATAGTACAGCTTCATTATTATACAGGTGTTGGATTATTTGCAGATAAGTATACTCAATCATTGCCCGTCGTTCGATTAAATGTTTCGTTGGATTGTATCTTACTCTGCCAAGACAATCCGTGAAGTGGTGACCGTAAATTGCATATGCGGTCCATGTAACAAAACTCAAAGGAAATAACACTTCTGAAACCGCCTTTACGAACTGTGTCAATTATTACGAAAATGAGAAATGAGAACAGATACTTAAATTTAATGGCATACCTTTAATAAACTGAATCTTAATTTAATGCTGGTTAATTGAAGTCGGATTGTGTTTTTGCTTCACTAATGCCATCTGGGACACTTGGAAGACTGTCTGCTGGGCAGTGTTGGCTGATCACTACTTACCATCTATTACGTAACTATTCAATGTAAAGGTTTGACGTACAATAGTTACTATCAGACGTAGGAAAATTATTGCATGATACTCGTTGGCTTTCATCCACTCTCTCTTATCGCAATATTACTCTTCAATCGTGTATTAATATCCATCTTTACTTTATTGTTTCATAATAAACTATTAAATATTTCTGAACATGAACTATAAAATACGTCATATATTTATATTTCTTGTGTATGTTGGGAACACGCCGGGATTGCCAGTGTTCCCTAAACCCTAAACATTGCTGGCATTGATTGTTTTTACTAAAATAGAATAATCAATGTCGAAAAATAAGTATTATAATGTGATTATTTGCTGACATATTTCAATTATAAGTGCATTTTTGATACTTTTTATTAATACACATCTTGTAAATTTACACCATGATTCCTTTTACGATGTAGCATTGACAACTAACTTATAACGATGGAATCTTATGTTGAAACGACAGAATTCGTTGCCCAGAGTGTTTAAATCCAGTACATCATTTTTGGAAAGTTGGGTAGGTGTGTGCACGCTATATCTAACGAGCAAGACGAAAAGTAATGAATTTACAAACGAATATCTTGACAAGTTGTATGTAAAAACTACTTGCATATAAAAGACGTTTGATTCTAATAATTACCGCCTTATAAAATGATTCCAGCACAAAACTAATTGAAAATGCCTCCTCTCGCGTTGCGGCGATATTACGTCACGGAATAATCCGGCGAATGAGTCGGCGCCGCGGGGCAGGCTCTCGATGAGCGCCCCAGAAATGACGGCGGCGAGATTAGAGGCGGCAATCGCTCTCCGCCGATTGGGGCGCCCCCGGCGTTTGCGCGGCGCGGGGGACGGGGATGGGGACGGAGACGGGGGCGAAGGCGGGGACAAGGACGGGGGCGAAGGCGGGGACAGGGACGGGGGCGAAGGCGGGGACAGGGACGGGGACGCCCCCACGGCTGCGCGGCGAGGGGCACGGGAGCGGGGACAAGGACTGGGGCAGAGGCGGAGGCGGGGACGGGGACGCCCCCGCGGCTGCGCGGCACGGGGGCGGGGATCTGGGGCGAGAACTGCCGTGGCTCAATTTGCGATGACTTGAAGCTGGCGACTCCTCCGTTAAGCCAGATACATGACGAACCGTTTCTCAGCGGATGGGGATGCGAAAATGTTAGTATTTCTTGAGATTTTTGGGATTGAATTTGTCTGTTTGTGAAGGAGGTTTTTGTGAATATCATTCCCAAAGGAAGTAGCAAATATTGGAAATGTTTTTGAGCAGATCACAGACTTATCGCCAAAAAAACACTCGTATACTTTTTCGAATCAATGCAGAACATTTGATACTGAACTACAGATACAGTGACATTTATCTACTCCTTCATATTAAAAAAACTGCACGAAAATACAGGCTGGAAGATCAATGCATTTTCAAAGCACAATATAACCCCAAGACATCAATAATTCTTTGAATTACGGTCACAAGTGAATCGAATCAAGATCGAATGAAAGTTACGCAAGAATATATGTGTCAGGTGCATTTGTGAAATCTTTCTCATCAGTAGTGCATTTTTATGTTAGTAAAAATTATTTCAAATATTTTTTTGTATTCATTTGTCAATTTTAGCAACCTTGACTCATTCAAAGTGCAGAATATTCTCGCAAGAATCTTCTGACTGAAACTCGAAACGAGTCCTAAGCGTTTGCTCAACAGGGAAATGGTCGAATTAATGAGCCTGCGAACTCTTTGTTCTTACCAATTATTCAGTAATTTAACCCTTCAGAGAGCTTACGTTATCGTTGATGAAAGAATACTTCGTAACCTTTGATGAACTTCAAATTTTTATAACGAGAAGAAAGCAAGAAATGTCATTCAAATTATTTCTTCTGAAAAAATTAGAAACTTGAGCCGTCAAAGAAATGTACTATGCCAACCAATATTATTTTCGAATGGAAGAAAATACGTGGCTTTTCAAATCCCCCCCCCCCGTGGAAGATTCTCTTCTAATCATGAATAATTTGCATCGTTCGCCAGATCCCTGAACTTTGTAGTTTATATAAGTTCATTAAACCGATGATTGCGTTTACAAAAGAAACGGTTACCCCGCATATCAATATGGTTACTTGCTCATTAACTCTGAAAAGTCAGTAATTCAAGACCTTTCTCGTGGCCGGGGCAGTATCGATTTAACGAGGTTCGCCTGAATAATAACCGTTACGAAAACATTTTGAATGGAAGGGGCCGGGCGCGTGATGTGGCTGCTCGGAAGCGGTCAACGGGGCGGGGCGCGGGCGGGGCAGCC